ATATATATATGTGTATTGTTACCGTATCGGGACCTTTTTGATCTCGACATTATTAAATACAGACACATTGATACGTTTATTATACAATGACTTCAATCGTGCCAACTTGATAAATCAAAAGCAACGGTACTTGTTAATTAATGTAAGAAAAGTATTAGGTACCAAGACAATTACTTTTATTATACGTATATTTTCATGTAAGGGCACACTTACACCATTAACTTATTGTTATCTTTTCATAACTTTTGTTTCGGGTTCCTGAAATACAGGTAGCACGTAAAATTTCCAAAAATTTCTTAGTACTTCGTTGCTAGACCTTTCGAACAACATCCCACATGATACACCACCGAAAATTCCTTTGTTTTTTTTTTTTTAATAATTTATTAGCCCCCCCCCCAGCACCCCCCCCTTAACGGTACGTTCCCATCTTTTTACGTACCCCTACGGACGGCGGAAATCTATTAAATCGAATTAAAACAAACGCATCTATTTAAAACAAGGAAAAACAAAACACTTTCCCATCTGGCAACGCAGCGCCAAAACAAAAGCGGGAAAAACTGCGATCGCCCACGCTATTTAAGAGTTGTTAAGGCTGCCGCGGTTGCAACACGGAACAAAAGACGACGGTTTATAAAGTGTATAAAAAGTGCCGGAGTGCGCATAGTCAGTTTCGTTATTAGATGCGGGCTTAATTTCGTAAAGCCGGTATGACGGCAGAATTTATTTATTACACACACACACACACACACACATACACAAATAATAAAAACGAATGAACATATTTTGTAATGTATTGCACGTGGATATGGTAACGGGTGGGAGACGCGACGATCCGTTATTTCCGTTTCGCGTGGAGCATTTCCATGAGGAGGGTTTGGGTGGGGGCGCCCCCGTTGCAATGTTTATGGTACAGGTGCTCCTCGCCTCTGGCCGCCAGCGTGTGAATGTCGGACAGTAATTGCATCATTTTGCTAAACTTGTCCTGAAACAAACAAAACAAACCCGGTAAACAAAAAAAAAGAGACGGCGTCATGCGCTAAGAAACAATCGATGGTTAAAACAAGAGAAACAATGTCTCATCATTGTTACAAGATAGTCAGTCGGTCGCAATTTCCGAAATCTGAAACTGCTTATGCCTCCCCCCTATTTTCCCCCTCATTAAGCTCCCTCACGTTTAGTTGTAACCCCTTCCTCTTTCCAACGTTGCGCAAAAATGTTAATAATCTCGCGTAAAATAACTATTATCCTTGTCTACTTAACAAAATTCAATGTTAGTTAACACACTCGTTGACCCCCCTTCCCCCTTACAACGCATCTCAACGATTCACAATACTCCCTTGCGTGGACAAGGTATGAAAATTAAAATTAAGATATTACGTATTCATGCTTTGCGGACCGTTCAGTTGGATAGAATGAGCAAAGACAATTCGTTGATCCGTTCGGCTATCATCATTACATTGAAGGTGGGTGAAGCAGTACTTCGAATACCTTCAATGCCGCATAATACCTAAAGACTGAGCAAGTGTTTTAGTTTGCTCACGGCTTGCAAATCTACAGTAACAAATTGTGTACGAATTACAGCGAAAAATCTTAAACTGCTGACGCCTCAGTTGCATTTAGAAAAGAGACAATTATGCCAACTACTTTTGAGATATGTGTACCCCTCGTGTGAACCACCCCGAGCTGCCAAAAATTAATATAAACAAATCTCACCTGTACTTGAGGGTAACATGTCACAGTGTATTCTAGTAGCGCTTGTTGTACTTGTTCATATCCATCTTGAACGTGTTTTCTGTTTGTGATGCCTCGGACTTCTGAAACAAAAGAAAAACGTAATTCCTTGCCATTCGAAATTACAAGACATCTGAGCAACGGTCTTGGTATGCTCACGATGCTTCTTTGAGGGCGTACAAAATGGATACTAACCGGGGTTAAGTAGAAGCAGAAACTTCAAGCATATGTAGTCGCTAACGTCGAACTTGAGTTCTTGCAATTTTGATGTGATGTCGTTGAAATGATCGGCCAGCGATGGCACCCCGAGCAACCCCAGACTGAGGAGGTCGAATTTTTGGCCGTTGTGTAACGTCGTCTCGTCAGGTAGATTGTTGTGCATACGTTGATGTATGTGGTCCAACACCAGCATGTCCGACCACGAATGTTGTAACAATTTCATCTGGTCATCGACCTGCAACAGAAACAAAAGAAAAACATAAAACAAAAAATAAATTGTGGCAGCCATCACAAATATTAAAAGTTTCATCACATTTCATGTTACAAAAACTATTCTCCTAATAAATTTCTAGTATATGCACCCAGTAGATATTAAACGCCATAATCTGGGTTATCATTTAATGAATAATTTTTTAAAATTGGATCAATAGTTTTGGATATAATCCCATGTAGAGAAGAACAAAACAAATATCTAGATTTTTAGTCTCTTATCTTCGTTAAGTATTACGGGGAATTAACAATTAAAACTTTTAGATTTAAGTTTAAAGTATCTATATGTAGTCTATGTTAATCTTCATAATCTGAACTATCGTTCGGTGAACAATTTTATGTGATTCGATCAGTAGTTTTAGAGATAATCCCACACAGACAGGAACAAAACAAATGCGAAGATCCAGTAAACAAACGCCCTGTATGTTAGTGATGTAAAACGTTAGAAAACAATAGAAAATATGGTAAAACAACGCGGGCTTTTATGCAATTAAACAAATGAGTCATCGACTTTAATAATAATTGCGGCAAACGATGTTAAAAACACCTTATTGCTTATTGAACTTGGCCTAAAAATCAACCGTTTGTTGTAATCCAAAGTTTCACTTTCAAATTCGTCCATATCTATCTCTGCAACATAGCTAGCGTTGCTCTTTGCATAATTGTGTGTATAAGTGTGTGTGTTGTGCAAATATGTACGTTTTTACATACATGCATGCACATATGAATATATATTAGAGTCTTTAGAAAACTAGTTAGCTGACTATGACGCAATTCTATCATGTTAACAAATAATACCATACAACATCGTTGCTAAAATTACTTTTGCGACATTTAGGTTAAAATTAAGCGAGATAGATAAGAGATATGGTACTTCACTTTGGATAAACGCGAAAATCGATGTACAATACTTGCCGAAAAAACTAAACATTATCTCAAATTGTAAAGTTTTGCGCAAAATTGAAGTGAATTGATCTATAAAACATTTGAATCAAGACATGTATCATGTTGTTTATAGCGAAACAAACAATAATCAAGCAATTGTTGTAACTCTCACAAACATTTGAATACAGTATTCGTATTATCGAGTCATCAATACAATCTCCAAAAACATTTGAAAGAAAATTTTTACTAAGAAACAAAAAATAATTAGCCAACTGTTTTAATTTTGTTAAGAAATAAAAAAATTGAAGATCAAATCTAGCGCCTCAAACACAATTATTCAGTTGTTACTTATACATATATTAATTTAATTTGGAAAATTCACCCCTCGTCCAAAAAAAGAATATTAAGAATTAAATTAATTACCATTTTATTCTTTTGGTTTGTACCTAACTGAAATGTCCTTTTTAAAGTTAATTTGTGTCGGAAATTAACTCTCCGAATTATAGAAGCCAGTAAATTTTTAATTAAAGCAAAAACCCATTTAACTTGGTTCTTATTAAAAAGAATCTGTAGCTTGATATTACTAACGGACTTTTGACAATTTGGGTCAAATTTAGGTAATTAAAACAGGAACGAACAAACGTCTATATGTATTTGACTTCGATTTACTCGAATTTAGCAATTATTTAAGTAATTCAACCAAGATCTTCAATAGACCTAATCGAAATGCCTAAAACGTGGACAATTTTAATTATTATTGTATACTTCCTTAAAGAAATTTTAATTACCACTTATATAATCATCCTGAAACCAAATAATTAAAAAATACAGTTAACATTACTGACCTTCAAATACCAAACAAGTCATTGTCTTGCCATTACTAACTGCTAAATTTTATTTCCGTCTTCATCGACCTTTCTATTATAATTATCTAACAACAGGAAAATTCATTACAGGTCTGTTGACGTATCAGAGCAAAAGTAACTGTTTTTAGGCTCGCTTTTGAAATTTTTTCTATGATTAAACGCCTTTATTGCGTAGGCCAATATTTTTGATCGCCACTGTACACCGCGGTGTCCCAAATTTGAAGTTAACAAGTGCGTTACTACACTAAATTTTCATTTGTTTATTAAACTAGGACACTTCGATTGCACCTTTATAATTGTGCTGCTGCAAATCAAGAAGGCAGCGACGAAAAGCATTAGAAAATCGGCGATTAGATCCTTCAACTATTTTTTTTTTTTTGATAGCATTTTTTTTTTTAGAACGATGAAAACAAAAGACTGTTGCTGTCGTTGTCAATTATTTTGTCTGTTTTGTTATAAAAATGGCACAGCCGATTTGTCAATAGTCAATTTTTACTACAGTCTTATTACAGCCCATGCACATGCTATTTGGTCCAAGGTCATCAAAATATTTACTGTGCCAATTTCTAGACAAAACTAGTAGATACTATATACGTATACTTGTATACACAACATTTGCAACAGCGATGTTGTCAGACTAATAAGAAAAAGAGTTTTAAGGTGAAAATGTCTTGTAGATAAATCTTTAATCTTTCCGATTTATTAAAATTTTAATTTTTCACATAAAGTAGATACAATAAAAAGTTGAAAATGGAAAATTAATTTAAATTACCTGTGGTCCGCCCTGTAAATATCCAATATTTAATAATAACAAATATATCACTTTTTTATGAAAGATTTAATTAAAACTGCTTAATTAGATACTTATTTACATATTTGTATACGTATGTATCATAGAATCTGGCAACAGCGGCTGATATACCGTATATTTTTGCGTTATCTCAGATCTTAGTAACTGATACACGTTCGTGTTGCAACGCGCGACTAAAACAATAAAAATCTATCAAAATGTCAAAGTGTGTTAAGGCGATGCAAAAAAAAATCGAACGCGATGTATTAATATCATTTATGACGTAATAAAAGTTTCGATATAATTATATTCGAAGCACCACCGTTGCGACCCAAATAGTTTTTGTATAAGATATAATTAAGTAATAAAAAAAAATAGAACAAAACACTAATCACAGAAAACAATCGAACATCTCATCATAATTACCAACAGAATACCTATTTTTTGACATCAAACACAACAAAAAGGAATCTAATGCCTAAGGCGAATTATTTATTTGACAAGGAGTATTTAAATTATTTCCTTTTGGGCCTAAGGCGAACAAAAAATTTATTTCTACATTTTACTGATGCCTGTCGCTTAGTGTCCTTTATAAATTTATCCCATATTCCTAACTGTTTAAGAATAGTGATCCAAAAAGTCTAAAACTATTCGTTGATGTCTTAGGTGTCGTATTTTTTTTTACATATATATATAAAATATTTGTAGTTCTGAAGAACAAAGTAATAAAAATTGATCATTTTAGACATTTAGGTCATCTAATTGATACATAGATCAACATTAGATGTTGGCAATATGTACGGGCTGCAAATGAGGTATCAAGTACCTAATCCATAAAGCTCAGTGGGTTTGATACTTTTAAAAAGTAGAAAACAAAAAATTAATTCGCTTTTTTTTATTTCAACGACATTTGAACGATTGCCTTCTGATTGGTTGGATTTTCCAAAACAAAAACGGTCGAGTTTCAGTTGTTCCTGTTCCTGTTTCATTTTCCCGTTTCAATGCGTCTTGAGGAACGCTGCGGTCCTATTATTAGCATAGGAAGAAGGTGGGTGGTATAGAATATATTTCGCAATAAAAATTCGCTCAGAACGAGTACTTGACCCACTAACAATGGCCTATTTCGATGCGTACACGTGCTAGACCTTCCACAATCAATAAAGTGACTTGAAGAGTCCTAGTTTCGGGGGCAGCCTGATGTTGGCGCGTGGCTATAACAATTTTCACGTTGACGTACGTAGAAGCACGATTTGCGTCCCGGCAGCACAAAGTAGGTCATCACAGAATAGCGAATGACGAAAGAAAGGGGGGAAATGGGTAAAACGATACTCAGGGTGATTAAAGTAAATTAAAAACAAAAGATTGCCTTTAAACAACTTTCAGTGAAGGTGGTGGTGGATGTTTCATAGATAATCCCGTACAAACGGATTTGTTTAAAGTTGGAATTCATGAAAACTGTTTTTTTTTTTTGTAATAAGAAATTTTTCACGATCTTAATCGTTGACGCTCAATGATAATTTGCTGGTAAAAATTGGTGGATGCGCCGTACACAATCAATTGTTTTTATTCTTTTTCCGACGATTTTTCGTTCAAATGTTAAACAATTGCTAGCAAAAACGATTAAACAAATGCCACAGAATATCGCACTTCGATTTTTTTTTCGTATTCTTTTGTTTTACAAGGACCATCCTACTTATTCCTGCCATACTGTTGTTTGAACAAGTAATTGCAATTCACTTAGCGTCTTGGTGTCTTTCAATGAATGCAATCTAAGTATATTTTATTATTACTATCCCAAACACTCTCGATTTTGATGAAAACATCTCAAGAGAGCCATTCAGGGCCACACTTGACCCACTGGCAATGGCCTACTTGAGTACTTTTATTATATATGTGTGTGTGTGTGTGCTACACATACACATATATATATGTGTATTGTTACCGTATCGGGACCTTTTTGATCTCGACATTATTAAATACAGACACATTGATACGTTTATTATACAATGACTTCAATCGTGCCAACTTGATAAATCAAAAGCAACGGTACTTGTTAATTAATGTAAGAAAAGTATTAGGTACCAAGACAATTACTTTTATTATACGTATATTTTCATGTAAGGGCACACTTACACCATTAACTTATTGTTATCTTTTCATAACTTTTGTTTCGGGTTCCTGAAATACAGGTAGCACGTAAAATTTCCAAAAATTTCTTAGTACTTCGTTGCTAGACCTTTCGAACAACATCCCACATGATACACCACCGAAAATTCCTTTGTTTTTTTTTTTTTAATAATTTATTAGCCCCCCCCCCAGCACCCCCCCCTTAACGGTACGTTCCCATCTTTTTACGTACCCCTACGGACGGCGGAAATCTATTAAATCGAATTAAAACAAACGCATCTATTTAAAACAAGGAAAAACAAAACACTTTCCCATCTGGCAACGCAGCGCCAAAACAAAAGCGGGAAAAACTGCGATCGCCCACGCTATTTAAGAGTTGTTAAGGCTGCCGCGGTTGCAACACGGAACAAAAGACGACGGTTTATAAAGTGTATAAAAAGTGCCGGAGTGCGCATAGTCAGTTTCGTTATTAGATGCGGGCTTAATTTCGTAAAGCCGGTATGACGGCAGAATTTATTTATTACACACACACACACACACACACACACATACACAATTATTGCTCCACGCTGACTGCGATGCAGTCGTAATCGTCGAGGTTCACTTGTCAAATGGGTCATGACATGGAACGTGGTAATTATCATTGTATGCTTGCTTGCTCGCTTGCTTACTTACTTTGAACACTGACGTGCAACACGTTGCCGTTTATACTAGGTAAACTTTAAAATTATTATCAAAATAGCGACGAATATTCCTTAGAATTACAAAAAACAAATGACGAACTGACAAAACATTCTTTTGTTTTTTTTTTTTTAAGTTTTCTTCTGTCATAAGATGACACGTACTAATTTCGTCGAGCAAGTTCAGAACATCCATATGATTAAAAGCACCCATATGTTTTGAGCAATAATCTAATCTAGGTCTACCTCTCTAAACTCCTGTTTCTGCTTCTGATACGTCTCTAATTGACTTCCATAGCGCCCCCTGTTTTCCTACTAACTCTAACACCACCACACTATCTCTAAGGTCAGTTTGCTTGATCCTAATATTGATCCCTAAATCCCTAAAGTTGTCTTGTCCTTAATAATAATATTGATCTCATCTTTGACATGGATACAAACTAAAAAATACCGGTGACAATGTACATCCTTGATGCCTGATTCGATTCCTTAATGTTTACTTCACTACGACGTTGCCCAAATCGTACAGCTTTTCTCGGTGGACCATCCGGTACCTATCTACCTGATTTAGACAGGACTCCGTTAGATCCTTACTGAAAATTACCCTCTGTCAAACTCTTTTAAATTTTGGATAAATCCAAACGTACTTTGACGTGTTCAATCTGAATTTGATCTACACATCAAGAACTACGTACAAGAATCCAAAGATTTAAAATGTTTGGCAGGGGGTCATTTTTCGTATGGATCTGGAGGGGTCTTTTCAAAATCATTTGGACAAAAGGTAGGTGGTACCTGCCTGGTCCATCAACATTAGACTACTTTCCGTAAGGATCTAAAGGATCCTTTTGCAGATGTTTTTAAATTTTCAGACCTCTAATTGTGAGGCCTTTTCAGTACTTTGCTTCAGTTGCCAAAATACATATTTTAGACCACGTGTAGATACTTAGAATCAGGGGCGGCCTTTGGGGGTGGCGAACAGGGCAACCGCCCGGGGCCTCGCTCTTGCAGGGGCCTCGCGCACTCGCGCAACAATCTAATTAGAAAATATTAGGTAGTAATAGTACATAGGTACTACTAATGTTTATTTGAATTTCCTAATAGTCTTAAAAGAAGCCGCAAATTTGTTAGATATCTTTGTTTTTATCAATTTTATCTTTAATTTTCGATAAACAATTTAAAACTGTAAACTTATTATTGAATCACGTTTTGCATTTTTCAAGTATCATCATTAAAATTAATTAGCAAAAATTTACCCGCCCCGAACCTTCCAATGACTAAGGCCGCCCCTGCTTAGAATCATAAATGCGTTTCGGGAAATAAGTCTCACTCCCCATCATTTGGATTTGATCCATCGAGGAAAGCTATAGAATTTGGGCAACATCGGACAATTTTCCGGAAGAATCTAAAGGGTCCTTTTGCAGATATTTTTAAATTTTTAGACCTCTGCTTGTGAAGTCTTTTCAGTACTTTACATCAGTTACCAAACTACATATTTCAGGCCACATATAGATACTTAGATTCACGAACGGGTTTCGGGAAGTAAATACGGTACTCCCACCCTACATGGGAGTTCCCCCCTTTCGACCCGAAGAGTGCCGCACGCGTCTGCGCAAACACCCCATTTCGAAACAACAAAGCATGCTTACCTTGAGATCCTTGAAGAACACGGAATTCCTCGCCCAGTCAACTTGCGAGAACAAATTCTGGTCCAGCACTTTGCACATCAGTTCGAACAGGTCCACCTCGCACTGGTTGTATGTCTGATTTTGCAACAACGAGTACAACGAATTTTGCCACTCGCGATCGTCAATTGCTTGCACAAAGTCCCGTATGAGCGGCGACACCTTGATACCCGACGGCGGCACGCCGACGCTACCCGGTGCCAGCACCGTCGTGGACGTCGTCGTTGTACCGCCGCTGCTCCCGCCGTCGAACTGGAAGCTTTTCGGACTTAGCGAGTGCGGCGAGGTTGCCGTGGTCGAATTCGCCGATGCCCAAAGTTTACTTTCGTGACCGCCGCCCCCACCGCCCGCACCCGGTATAAGCATGGGAGAGCCGGCGCCCGAAATGCCCACTATCTGAAGGGCCGGCTGCTGACTTGACGCTGGCTGCATCAATTGGGCGGAACTGACCTGGAAATGAAGGAAAGACGAACCGGTTACATAGGCCTAAAAATTTCGTACGAACATTTTGGGTTTTACAAGTTTTTCGGTGCCGTTCCCACGCACGAAGAGGAAGTAAAAACCTCTCCCACTTCTAGAACTGGCACCCATTTTAACGACCATTACCCCCAAGTCGACGTACCATTAACTAAATACATGGAACCTCGCTTGGAGGTAGCGTGGAGATAAGGAAACCTCATCGTACGTGAAGATTTCCAATAACATAGAATCAATTATAAAGTAGTACCATGCACAATTGACTCGTGGGCATCTTCTTCTGATGTTGACCAACTTCTGGGAGCAGTTAAATATCTCCTGCTCAAACCTATTTCTATTAGATATATTTAGAGGCTTTTACTTTTAAATACGTATCCTTTTCAAGGACTGTCAAGGAATAGCCTTCGCACAGGAAGGTCCCGTAAAGAACCATCTGTAACATGTTTTTATGCTTTCAAATGATGCTCTCCAGGACCAACCTAATCAAATTTGCAGTTTCTGGAAGGTCAGGGAATATTTTGATGAAGAATATTCTACGGGGGTTAATACGAGGACCACCGAAAAACAAAATCAAAAAAAAATTGGTAAACGAATTAGGTAGTCATGACTCACTGTTTTTGTCGAAATTTTTGAAAATACATCAACCAAGTTGTGGCGTTGTACGGGTGCGAAACATGGGCGGTGGGCGCGGCGGAAAAGAAAAGGTTAGAAGCGTTCGAAATGTGGTGTTATAGGCGGATGATGAGGATACCGTGGATAGAGAAGGTTAGAAATGAAGGGGTGTTAGAAAGAATAGAAGAACGGAGGACTCTATGCAAGTCAGTAAGAAATAGAGGATTAGTAGGACACCTTCTCAGACAGGAAGGTCTAGTCAGAAACATATTAGAAGCAGAAACAAGAGTAGAGGCAGACCTAGATTAAATTACTGTTCGCAAATAGTTAAGGATGTGGGTTGTTCCAGTTTTAGGGAAATGCGAAGATTAGCCCAGGATAGGAAAGTGTGGAGGTGCGTGTCCAACCAGTCTTAGGACTGACGACCTTATGATGATGATGATGATCAACCAAGTTCCAAAAAATTTGACCGATTTCAACAAAAAAATTAATCCTTTTTTCAAAAAGATAAAATCAATTTAAAAAAAAACATAATACGACTGACCTGTCCTAGTGCTACAGCTATGGGACTCGGCGAAGAATCGGGAGACGATGTGAGCGAAGAGACCTGGGGTATTTGTATTTCTTGTTTGATGTGAATGTTTCCGAAGGGCGAAGCACCCGGTTGTCCGGGGCCCGCTGCTGCATACACGCTCGTCCCGTCTGGTAAATGGCCGCGTTGGGCGATGGTTTGGGCGGCTAGTTGTCGCTGGCGCATCATTTGTAACTTCCGGGCGCGATCTCTTTTGTACATGGGACCGAATTTGTTTCGACCCCCCCGCATCCTATCTGCTCTCACCGCTGAAACAATGAGAAAAAAACGAAAAGTTAGATTATTAATCGCAATTCAGTGTTTAGAAAAAATAGGGAAACAGAAGCCTCTCCAGGGACTGTAGGAAACTACTAAGACATAGAAGGGCCAAACATAATTTTTGTTTTTTGAAAATTCAACTTGTAACCCGTAATTTCGACTTGGATCTTGAAATTTCAATTTGCGTTCCGAAATTTCGACTTGCATTCCGAAAGTTCGACTTGCATTTCGAAGTTTCAACTTGCATTCTGAAATTTTGACTTGCATCTAGAAAAATTTCAACTTGTATCTCGAAATTTCAACTTGCATTCCGAAATTTCAACTTGTATTCCGAAATTTCGACTAGTAACTCGAAATTTTGACTTGCATCTAGAAAAATTTCAACTTGTATCTCGAAATTTCAACTTGCATTCCGAAATTTCAACTTGTATTCCGAAATTTCAACTTGCATTTCGAAGTTTCAACTTGCATTCCGAAATTTCGACTAGTAACTCGAAATTGTGACTTGCATCTAGAAAAATTTCAACTTGTATTCCGAAATTTCGACTTACATTCCGTCATTTCGACTTGCATTCCGAAATTTCGACATGTATCTTGAAATTTCAACTGGAATTCCGAAATTTCGACAGTGCATTCCGAAGTTAGATTTACTATTGATTAACCCATCAGTATAAGAAAATAGGCTTTCACGGACAGAATCACTGGTATCGTAGAATTAAGATTCGGACTGAGGAACCGTGGTCTAAATAAACTGTTAAGTCCAGACGTTTCTTTGGCAACCGTATCAGAAATCCTCAGCACCTACTTTTCACTGCAGTACTACTGAAGATGTCGGCCGTAATCGCCGCCGAAACATCTGAACCTAACAATTCATTTAGACCACAGCTTTTCAGCCCAAATCATAATTACCTATACTCACCAGTGTTGTGACGATTATTGTCTGCGATTAAATTGTTTATTAGGTTAGAATTGAGTTAGATAAGATTGGTTCAACCGTGTTATCAAAAAAAAAAAATACACGACTCACTTCGTTCGTATTGTCTTTACATACCCCAAACTAGGATTGAGTTAGGTTACATTAGGTTGCGATTCAATAGGCATTTAGAGTTACAAGTTGAAATTTCGAGTTGCAGGACAATAAACTTTTAGTTCGCTTATTTCCCAATAAACCTAGACATTTTCAAACGAAAATAAAACAGTAAACCTGCGTAATGGTTTTCGTAAAATTTTAAAATTGCAATAGTAACAATAATGTTGTACAGTGTACACAATTGTTTGCTATACAATTTAATATTTGGTCATACAAATTACAAACGTATTATACATTATACCAATGTATGAATATGTAAAGTAGTTATTGTACGAGTATTTTTTTTTTTTATTCGCTGGAAGCACGGCCGGCTATTTCGAGACAAAACCAAAAATGAAAGTACAAACAGTGCAGCCGATGAAAAATTTCGAAATGTAGAGGCCTTATTTCGTGTCGGTGTACATGTGATTTCACTTCTGCTTTTATGGTCAAACATTGCTCGGACTACTCAAATAATAATTAAAAATTAAATTATATAGGTACATATATATGCATAAGTGACAAACATAAACAGATCAAAAAATTCAATTGATCTTCCGGCATATGCACACAGCAGAACTCGGTTATAGCGTCATCCTCCAAGAACCGGCGATGTATTGACGTAATAAGCGGATGTCGTTGTTCACGGAAGTTTGTACATTCTAATTTCTAAATTTAATTTATTATCAAAGACAAAAGTTTCTCGCCCATCAGTCGATTACTGGAAATTGGTCAAAATGCTAACCTGATTTCGTATTAATTTTCCTGTAATCCATAAGTAAAGAACTATTTTCTGTATTTTTTTCAAAATTTTAGATTGAGTAGTTTCGGAGATAAGGTGAAAGAATGGTCAATTTTCATCTATTTTCTTAAATAAATTTAACACTTAACATTTTTAACATTTACCTTTAATAACATCTATTTTCTTTAGACATGTCACACGATACAGTTTAAAACTTTTCATTTTAATTTCCTATTACCCCTTCGAAAAAGGACCCCCATGTTCAAAATTAATTTATTTACGTGATGCTTTCGTGTCCAACGGACGACAAAAACACCCTTAGAAACACACGACAATGAATAAAAACGAATAATTACAATAATTGGGTCGCAAAGTTAAAATTGAGTGCATAAATAAAATTATAAATAATATTCACTCATATCGATTGATTGGATGTCTTTACCTAATTAAAAAAACTATACCTTGAAAAAAACACCGCACAAGACGAAACGTCGGTAAATTGTACTCAAAATAAACTGATTTTAAAACCCCTACTATTGCCCCTTATTTCTAACTATTCGCTTGGAGGGGAAGAACTGGTCAACATGGTAATAACTAAGTTCAAGAACCCCTACTATTACCCCTTATTTCTAACTATTCGTTTAGAGAGGTAGAACTGGTGAAAATGCTAATAAACTAACTGTATTTATCGTATATGTAAGATGATCGTTCAACAAAAGTAATAGTTTTCATTTAATATGTTATATATTTTAATTCGTGTCAAACAAACCTATTGATAGACAGGCAGCAATTGCGGTGATGGTATGCAACAATTAATCAATTAATATCGATTCGTTTTCTAGAAAAAATAAATGGAAGCCGTTACTGCATGATTATTTATTTATTAATCAATTCTTTTTGGTTACTTTAGACAAATACCAATTAGTCAGAATTACGTACAAATTGAAATGATTAATTGAGTATCTATCTGCCACTTATTGTTTGTTTCAAAACGTCGAACTAATTTGGAGTTTTACAGCACGTGGTTCAATTAATCTAAGTATCTAATTTTGGGATTCAAAACCTTAAGGAAAAGACATTTTTCTAAGGACAATCGTACATAATCGAATAAACAATATGACATTCATAATAACAACAACGACTATTTATTTAATTTATTTAATGAACAAACCTAAGTGTATGTGTAAATATACATATATAGATAAAGTCAATTGTGTTACATATCGCAATTCGGCCGATAAAAAAAAAATAAATGAATTTATTAGATATGACATAAAATTAAAAAGTAGGTCAATCTATTAATACCTATGATTTTTTTAATCACATCTATCTGAAAACATCACCCGCTTCTATGAAAACTGTCCCCAAATAATCGAACTATCAAAATAGTTCAAACATTTAATCTTTTGATGATTGCAATTGCATTTAATAAAATTTAACAATAAAAGGTGGAAATAAAAATTATCTCTTTTTAGGTCAAGGTCAAACCCTAAATATATCAGTTTTTCCTACAATCCATACGTCGACGCCTGCTCTTAAATTAAGCGCCATTGACAAAATTATATCGCCACGTATTTAATCACCTTCTTGCACTACTACTACTTTTATTTAACTTATTGCTGTCTAATTAACACTTCTATTATTAATTAGTTAACAATTCACCACTATAAGAACACTGTCACTTGTTTGGTTTGTATCGCCACTCGATCTCGCGACAACTATGTCCTAGAATGATCCAGTACATGCCTTCTAGAAACCTGGTCTTCTTTGCCACTATGTGTTGGACTCCCTACACACATGTGACAATATTGATCAATAACTCAAACTAGTATATTATTGTTACTAGATGATAACCATGAAATCCGAATTTAGTCCCTTCTTTAATTTTATTTTAGGGGTAGTGTCTTTAATTTTCACCACTGTTGTCCTACTGCTACAAACATTCACAATCAATTGATACTTTTGGGACTTGTAGCCATTGAGACATTTCATCACGACGATCCCAAGGACATTTTTCCATCATTCAACATTTTTGGGACTTGTAGACATTGAAATATTCCTTCAGGACAATCCCAAGGAAGTTTTCTTCCATCACTCGATTTTTTTGGGACTTGTAGCCACTGAGACATTTGATCAGGACGATCCCAAGGACATTTTCGTCCATCACCTCATATTTATGGGACTTGTAGCCATTGAGACATTCCATCAGGACAATCCCAAGGAAGTTTTCTTCCATCACTCGATATTTTTGGGACTTCTAGCCACTGAGACATTCCATCAGGACAATCTCTTCCATCATTCGATATTTTTAGGATTTTTAATCATTGAAACATACGATCAGGACGATCCCAAGGACATTTTCCAAAATTCCATCATTATAATCGACCGAAACCTATTTTCTTACCAACAACCCCCCCACGTAAAACCCCACTGTCCTTAACAATAATGGATGTGTGACTTCCAACAATATCTGTAACGTTTTATTAAGTTTCATCGTTTCGTTACAACAACAAGATTTTCTTTTCATTCATCCGTCTTATCGTACTTACAAATAAGTGAATATTTACGCAAACACAACATGAAAGATTGACAGCGAGTGTGTCTCCGACCACGAATAGGATGTTTCAGCAGATAATTATAGTTCAAAGCATTCATCCTCAAGGCCTTCAACGTTTATTAATAATATACCGTACAATATATGCCTACATGTACGCGGCATGACACGGAACGTTTTTAGAATATCTCCGCGACTGCCAAAATAACGCAACGAGAACGATCACTTCCTAAAGAGGCCAAAAACCTCTCGAATCCAGCAGTCCGCCAAAAAACTATTGACCAATAGAAATTCCAACTAACGATAAATAGAAAACAAATCACCTGCTTTTTTTCCATCGGGGCTAATTAAGGACAACCAGGTACGTTACGCCAAGAGTTTACCGTAAAAAGCCGATGTAAATTGCAAAACTAATAATAATAATAATAAGAGCAACAAAAAAAGATCGATCAGGCAGGCAAACTTTATAACGAACGTAATGGCATTTGAGAATATACGAGTGCGGCAAAGAGAAAAACGGAACGTCATTGAAAATGGTCCTTGTCCTTTTTACTACATGTAACACACAAGCGAGCACAAAAATAACAGAAGCACGGTGGGTACCGGATGAAACAGTTTTCTTGCA